ACGCAGATCCGCGGGGTCAGGGTCCAAAAACACATGGGATTTGCCACATTTCTGAAATTCGGTGCCACCCCTCACGCAGATCCGCGGGGTCAGGGTCCAAAAACACATGGGATTTGCCACATTTCTGAAATTCGGTGCCACCCCTCACGCAGATCCGCGGGGTCAGGGTCCAAAAACACAGGGATTTGCCACATTTCTGAAATTCGGTGCCACCCCTCACGCAGATCCGCGGGGTCAGGGTCCAAAAACACAGGGATTTGCCACATTTCTGAAATTCGGTGCCACCCCTCACGCAGATCCGCGGGGTCAGGGTCCAAAAACACAGGGATTTGCCACATTTCTGAAATTCGGTGCCACCCCTCACGCAGATCCGCGGGGTCAGGGTCCAAAAACACAGGGATTTGCCACATTTCTGAAATTCGGTGCCACCCCTCACGCAGATCCGCGGGGTCAGGGTCCAAAAACACAGGGGATTTGCCACATTTCTGAAATTCGGTGCCACCCTTCACGCACATCCATCGCAAGGCGTGGTAACCCAAACTGCGAGAACTCCCTCGGCCCTTTAATCGCAAGGTGTGGTAACCAAGCCCGTAAACCATACACGTCTTACCAATCGCCAGGTGTGGTAACCCCTCTTGTGATCAGTTGGTTTTGCTGATTGCGAATCGGCTTCGCATGAAGTTTCGATACTGCTTCACGACAGCGCCAAGGCCTCATGACTTAGCTCTTCCATGGCCCATTCTCCGAGAGAGGGGGCCGGCGGCAGGGGGCGAAGCCCTTACGGATATACATGTTGAACGGCACGCGCGCAACAAAGCGAACATAATTAGACTGACTGTGATTGTTGGTGTTGTTGTCGTGGTTGTTGTTGTGGTCGTTGTTGTTCTTGTTGTGGTTGCTGTGGTTGTTGTCATTGTCGCTGCTGTTGATGTTGTTGCTGTTATTGTTGTTGGGTCCTCACATCTCAATAATAGGCACTGTTGCTCCCCCCTCTGGCCCACATGACGCATTCTCAAATAGAATGCCCTTCCTGAGGAGGCAATTACTGGGAGATTTTCGTCGGCCGGACTTCGGACCAGGACACCATCAGAATTTGACCTCCCAAGAGTTGCATCCGAAGAGAAGGTCTTGAATCTCAAAAATCGGGTTGCTGGCGCCCGGTTTATGATGGCAGCGACTCCCGCCCAGTACTTCCGCAACGCATGCAGGGATCGCGCTCTCGCGCTGGACCTCCCCACCGTTTATGCAGACGCCGCGCCCACGACACTGAGGAGTCACGCTCTCGATGTGGATTCTCCGACTACTCCAGATTTCGTAATCAAAGGGAGGGGGTCACATTTCGGGGGGGTCTCTTCCAGGCTATCTTGGAGGGCCTGGGGGGTCTGGGGACGATGTTTTGGAGGGTTCTCCCAGCGGGGAGGTCTGAAATGGCTTGTCTTGGAGGGTCCAGACCCCCTCCCTTTTATTACGAAATCTGGAGTATTTAAAAATCAGGGTTGTCGCTCGAGATGTCCTCGCGAGTCCTGCAGGACGCACGCTTCAGCAACCCGCCCGCTCGACCCGACGCGCCCGTCCCGTCTGGCTCTGCCACGTGCTCTCGGCTCTTGGCCTCCCTTCCTGCTGCTCTTTCTCGTGCTCCATCCTCTTCCTTCTCCTCCTCCTCCTCCTCCTCCTTCACCCCCCGCAGCCCCCTTCCTGCTGCTCTTTCTCGTGTTCCATCCTCCTCCTTCCCCCCTTGGCCCTTCCTTCCATCCGCCCTCTCTTCCGTTACCTCAGGGGCTGCACGAAATACACGCTGCGGGTAAAACATATGCACTCCGAAGGGGGTACGATCGAAGACGAAGAGGGCGGGAATCGGGGGGGTTTGGGATACACCGGTTGAATGGCACGACCACAGATAAAAACAATTTCAAACAAAACGAACAGCATTGAAAGGATTGTTGATGTTGTTGAACTCTCATCCTCGGCGAATAATCATTGCTGGTCCCTCACCGGCGCATATTCGTTTTGCAACTGAGGTGTCTTCCTCGGGTCTCGTACCCTATTTTTTATGAGAGAATCATCATGTTCGGACTGTGTCGTTGCACCCCTAGCTACGACAACAACGGCTCCCGCCGGATACTTACTGTTTCACAACTTATTGAAAAGACGCGCTAAAGGGCGGGACTTCCTCATAACTTGGCAGGAATTGCGCTCTCGCGTGGGACTTCCTCACAATGAATTCAGTCGCCGCGTCCTCGGCGCTCAGGAATCACGATATCGCTCGAGACTCCCTCACGATTCATGCAGGACGCACGTTTCGACAACCCGCCTGCTCGACCTGGCCATCGGGGGTCCGCCCTCCCGACCCGCACGCTGAATTTTGCCCGCCCGATGTGCCCGTTTGCGTCTGCCACGTGTTTTCAAATCCTAAACCCCCTCCTGCCAATTCATCTCGTGTTCCATCCTTCTCCCTCCCCCTTCCGTCCTCCCTTCCCTTGTTCTCGGGGCCGCGCCAACTTCACGTGGCAAGTTTTAAACATATGCCCCCAAAGGGGTACAATCGAAGACGAAGAGGGCGGGAACCGAAGGTTTGGAATACACTTGCTGAGTAGCACGCGAGCGGATAGGAGTGCAGAGTCTTAAACTGATTGTTGTTGTTGGTGGTGGTGGGCACCCTGTAAATTTTCGATTGGGGTGTCCTGCCTGGTGCCCGTGCCTGGGTTTTTCATCAAGGAAAACCTCGGGTCCCAAGACTGGGGCCCTGGCCCGTTACAACAACAACGGATCCCGCCTGAGCCTTCCTCACAGTGCACTCCTAAATCGCGCTCTCGCCTAATACTTCCTCACGATGTATTGCCAAATCGCGCTCTCGCGGGGGATTTTCCTACAACGTGCGCAAGAATCGCGCTCTCGCGTTGGACTCCCTCACAGTTTATGCAGGCGCCGCGCCCACGACACTCAGGAGTCACGCTCTCGCTTAGGCTTTTGTCGCGATTTACTTGGGGATCGCGCTATCGCTCGAGACTTCCTCGCGATTCATGCAGGACGCACGTTTCGGCAACCCGCCTGCTCGACCTGGCAACCTGGGCCCGCCTTGCCGATCCACCCGTTAAGGTCTACCCGCCCGATCTGCCCGTCTGGTTAGGCCACCAACTTTCTGCTCCAAGCCCCCCTCCTGCAACTCCCTCTCATGCTCCATCCTCCTCCCTCCCCCTTGTCCCTTTCTTGCATCCGTCATCCCTTCCCCTGCCATAGGGCTGGGCGAAATGCACGTTGCAGGTAAGACATCTATACCCCCAAAGGGGGACGATCGAAGACGAAGAAGGTGGGTATCGAGGGTTGGGAATATACGTGTTGAACGGCACGCGAGCAGATAAGATTTAACGATCTAATAAAGATTGCTGCTGGTGTGGTTGTTGTCGTCGTCCTCCCCACGGCCCGACTGCGACGCACCAACGATCCACCCCGCGGCCAACCCCGCGACCCACCCACGACCCACCCCGCGCCCGCCTCCGAACTCTAAGTCGTGCCTGTCCCCCTACAAGGGGGTTTTGAATGAAAGATGAAAATGCACAACAATACTCCAAAATGGTCAAACAATGCAATAAAAATGGCAACAACAAACTATTGTTTGACTGTGTTGGGAAACTCCTCCTGTAGAGGGACAGGCCCGACTTAATCCTAACTCTGATCCGCAACTGCGGCGATGCGCACAGTATCTGGAAAGGGGGGTGCGGCTGCCGTGCCGTCGCTCGGACGTCCGTTCCCCGTGCATTTGTTGGTCTCGTGCGTGCTCTTTTTGCCAGATGGTCGAGGATGCTCCTCGAAGGTCCTCGCCGAGAGAGAAAATGCACACGTCCGAGCGATGCCAAGGAAAAGGGGGTGCGGCTGCAGAGAGCCAGACCTCCACGCGGAGACCGTCGGACGACCGCGCGCGTTTTCTTCCCCGCGGGCGCGCCAGACCCCCTCCCCGCCACCTCCAGACAGAGGTGCTTTTGGCGCTGACCCCCCGGGGTTCGCGCCGCTGGATCGGAGGACTTGCCATCGCTCGGGCGTGCATTCCCGGTGCACTGTTCGGTATCGTGCGTGCTTTTTTGGCTCGATGGTCAAGGATGCTGCTCGATTTAACGGGCGAAGAACGGTATAACATAAACTTTTTCGCTGTCGGGGGCGCCTGCCCCTGGGCGGCTGGAGACCGTCGGACGACCGCGCGCGTTTTCTTCCCCGCGGGCGCGCCAGACCCCCTCCCCGCCACCTCCAGACAGAGGTGCTTTTGGCGCTGACCCCCCGGGGTTCGCGCCGCTGGATCGGAGGACTTGCCATCGCTCGGGCGTGCATTCCCGGTGCACTGTTCGGTATCGTGCGTGCTTTTTTGGCTCGATGGTCAAGGATGCTGCTCGATTTAACGGGCGAAGAACGGTATAACATAAACTTTTTCGCTGTCGGGGGCGCCTGCCCCTGGGCGGCTGGAAAATTTATACCCCTACGGTGCCACCGTAAGGGTATAAACTTTAGTTACCGTCCTTCGCCCGTTAATCGATGGCCGTCGCCGAAAAAAATGTACGCGTCCGAGCGATGCCAAAAGGGGGGTCGGACCGTCGGAACCACTGGCACCAGGGGGGCCAACTCCCCCACGCCTCCCCCGAGCCGGGGGATTGAAGACGTCTCGAGCGGGGAGGAGCCCCCCCGCGGGGGGAGGAGGAGGAGGAGGAGGAGGAGGAGGAGGAGGAGAGGAGGAGGAGGAGGAGGAGGAGGAGGAGGAGGAGGAGGAGGAGGAGGAGGAGGAGGGGGAGGAGGAGGGGGAGGGGGAGGGGGAGGAGGAGGAGGAGGAGGAGGAGGAGGGTCGAGGCGGGGACGTCTAGACACCACCACCACCAGCTCCTCCCGCTGGTGGTGGTGGTGTCGCTTTCTTTGCTCCTACCTGGAATGGGTGCGGGAAGGTGGCCCCGACGCGAGGCCGTCCCTGGGCGTCTGGAGCTTTACCTTCGTTGCGTAACTCACGTTGATCCGATGCGGTCCCGGCCCAATGCGCAGAACACGGCGGTGGAGCAGCCGACCAGCACGGAGATCGCGCCGCAGGCCACCATGCTAAAGTCCACCGGAAGTTGTGCGGCACGAAAGAACTTGGTGTAGGTGTCCAGGGCTTCGCAGAGCATCTCAGACGTCAGCTGTGTCAGCCCCATGCTCCGCAAAGACTGCCTGCCTTCAGCTGTCTGCGAGACGATAGACAGCACTGGAGACATGGCGTCGATTGTGGCGCGCTTCAACTCCCGGGCCGGTTTCATGGTAGCCCACATCAGGAACGCGAAAAGCCCAAAGCATGCCGCGAAAGGAAAGGCACACACCGGTGCCACGGAGATCGTGACAACGACGAGCAGCGTCAGCGTGCACGTGAGCTGCGCAATGTTGTCTGCCCACTGCGCCACCGCCTGGTCCACCATAGACACGTCGCTCGAGAAGCGAGACATGATCCTCCCGCTGGGTACGCTCTCGAACCAGCCCAGGGGAGCGTACATTAGCCGTTCGAGGCAGAGCTGGTGGAGGGTCTTCGAACTGCGCACCCCGCCCTCCGCGAAAGCGTAGGACACCCAGAAAAGCAGGCTGACGAAGATCATGCTGCCGCCGACGTGGACGACGGCGTACATCGTGTGGTCAAGGCCACCGTCTTCCTTGCCGCTGGGTCTGATACACAAGAAACGACGTGAGTGTCTGCTCTTTTCTACTCATTTCCGCTGGACTCTGACGCCGCGCCAACGTCGCACGAAGTCCAACCATGCTTCTCTCTGCAACACCCCTGCTTCCCTCTGGGGCGGGCTGAGAATCAGGGGGGTTGCGTTCCAGAACACGTTATTCCAATTCAGTGGCTTCCTAGTTGGGTCCTTGGCCGCCTCCGCCGCAGCAACCCACACCGCGAGCCACCGATCTGTGAAGCCCATGGCACAGTAAGTGGCAACTGCCAGGCCGATGCAGAGGCCCGCATATCCTACGCCCATGCCGCGCACGTAGCGCCACAGGGCCGCCTTGCTCAGGCCGCCAGTGCTCTGGAAGTCTGTCGCCGTCAGAGGCATCGCGCCGTTCGCCTGCCCAGCGAGGTGCTCCTCTGGGGAATCTGAATTATGCAACTCTGCAACTCTCGGGAGGGGCACCGGATCGTTTTCCTGGGTGCTCTTGAGTAGGGAAAACATGTACAAACGTAAACTGTTCGAGGATCGCGCGGACTTATTTGATCGGCGCTGCATTGAGGCCCCAGAGTCCCAAAGCAGCCCCCAGAGGCCGAAATCTAGGAAAGGACGTCCGCATTGAGGGGCAACAGTGGGGGGGAACCAACGCCGATAGATCGGCGATGGCGAATCCGCACGTTCCTGGACGGGGTGCGCCATCGAGCCCCTATCAGCGATGTCTGGGCGATTTGGGATCGATGCATCCCCACCTGAACATATCCCCCCAGACCTTGCACCTTGGCTTTCGGGTCAGAACTCGGCTCCCAGGCAGCAGTTCGCGGGACGATCCAAGCACCCCTTGAACGCTCGTTGTGAGGCGCAGCCTGTGGAAGGCACCGAGGCTCGAAAATTCTGGAAAGCCGCCGAGAACTGACGAAAACGTCCGCAGTCTTCGAACCCCTAACGTTCTGAGCAAAGGGCGAAATCGGAAATGCAGTTTCGATTGGCCTTCGAGGCTTGCATGCCCAAAAGGTGAATCACAAGACGGATTGATTCTCGAGGTGCAACAGCCCTTATGGATTTCACCCCGAGGCCTCCACCCTGAGATTGTGGATGCCATGTCAATGGACACTCTAACAATCCGACCATCGAACTAAAACCATGTGTAAAACCTGCTCTAAGAACGTTTCAAACATGTTTCAGAACATCCGGAAACGCTGTGGCAGCATGCCTGCTATCCATCGATCGTCCCCCACAACCCAAAAAGGCCCCAAGAAACTGCTCAGACGTTGCCCCATGGACGGAGCACGGCGTCGCCCGTCTTGGGGAGGCCGTCGGCGGGGCGCTCCTCCGCCGCCGCGGCCGGCGACGCGCCCGAGCTCCCCGCGGGGCCCGCGCCCGCGTCGCCCGCGAGGGCCGCGCGGATGGCGGCCGCCAGCCCCGACGGCGCGCCGCGCAGCGCCGACGGCAGGGGCCCCGCCGTGTCGACCACGAGGGCCCGGGGGCTGCCAGAGGTGTCCCGGCCGGGCCCAACTGAAGGGGCTCTCGGACACACAAATAAATACACACAAATAAAACGATGCCCCATATTTTCCCATATGTTCTGGGTTCTTGTCTTCCCCCCCGCTTCCCATATTTTCCAATATTTTCTTAGAAATCGACGATTAATTGTGTCTGTGTGTTTTTCCCTCCTGACCAACAGGAAGTCGGGCCTGTCCCCCCCCCTGCAGGGGGAGTTTGGGGCGAAGCACTCAAATTACGCCACAGATACTCCCAAGAGGATCAGGCACAGTCAAAAGGTAGTCCCCAGACTATGTTTTGACTACTTTTGAGCGTCCCTCCTGTGGAGGGACAGGCCCGCCTTAGGCCCAACAAGTGCCTCCACACTGCGCCGGGGGAAAGCAGTCTACCTGTTCCCAACCGTCCCTGTGGTGTGGGGCCCTCGTTTGGAAGAGGCAGCGCCCCGCGTCTCCTCCTCCTCCGCCTCTCGTCCTCCTCCTCTCCCTCCTTACGACTGCATCTGGTTGGGTCCTGCGCCAAACGAAATACGTGTTCCCGACCATCCTGTGGTGTTGGGGCCTCGTTCTGAAGAGACAGCGCCCCGCGTCTCCTCCTCTCCTACTCCCCCTCCTCCCTCCTCCCATCCCTGCCTCTGCCCTGCGCACTCCATTTCGGCACACCCATCGCACGATGTGTGGCTCCATATGAAGCTCCCCCGACGGCCCCAGTGGCTGACCTCGCATGCGGTTCTCCCCCCCAGTACAGCGCTTCGAGGCCCCGTAAGGAGCTCCATCGAAGGCCCCAATGCCTGCACTCGCATGCGGTTCCCCCGCCCAGTGCAGCGCTTCGTGTCCTCATACGGAGCTCCACCAAAGGCCTTACTGGCTGCACTCGCGTGCGGTTCCCCCACCCAATACAGCGCATCGTGGCCCCGTACGGAACTCCACCGAAGGTCTCAGTGGCGGTGTTCGCATGCGGTTCCCCCACCCAGTGCAGCGTGCTGCGGCCCCATAGAGAGCCTCACCGAAGGCCTCAATGGCGGTGCTCGCATGCTGCCCCCCCCCCCCCCGGTACAGTGCGTCGTGCCCCCCCCCCACAGGGGGCTCCAGCGAATGCTACAGCGGTCGTGTTCGCAAGTGGTTCCCCCGCCCAGTACAGCGTTTCGTGGTCCCCCAGGGTGCTCCACCCAAGGCCCCAGTGGCGTTGTTCCCATGCGGCTCCCCGCTCAATACAGCGCTTCGTGGCCCCATAGGGAGCTCTACCGAAGGCCTCCCTGGCGGTGTTCGCATGCGGTTCCCCCGCTCAACTCAACGCTTCGTGACCCCACATGGGATCTCCACCGAAGGCCCCAATGGCGGTGTTCGCATGCGCTCGCACCACCGAGCACAGCGCTTCGTGGCCTCATGGGGAGCTCCACCCACGGCCTCAGTGGCGGTGTTCGCATGCGCTTCCCCCGCTCAGTACATCGCTTCGTGGCCCCAGAGGGAGTGCACTGAAAGCCCTGGTGGCGGCCCCGCCCATTGCGGCGCACCCCTCAGACGTTTCGCGGCCCCAGTGGTGGGTTCCACCAGAATGCCCCACTGGCAACCCACACATGGCGGCCCCGCCCCATATCGGCACACCCTTTGCATGTTTCAGGGCCCCAAGAGGAGCTCCCCCGAAGGCGATGCCTGCAACGGTGGTACTCACAACTGCATATGCTTGGGTCCTTCGCCAAGATAACTACTTGTTCCCAACCATCCTGTGGTCTTGGGTTCCCGAAACACCTCGCATCTCCTCCTCTCCTCCTCCTCCTCCCGCTTCCGCCTCCTCCCGTCACATTCTCCCCGCACATTGGCACACCCCTCGCACGTTCCGTGGCCCTGTAGGGAGCTCCATTGAAGGCCCGCTGCACCCATTCTGGCACACCCCTCACACGTTTCGTGGCCCCATATGTCGCTCCACCGAAGGCTCCACTGGCTGACCTCGCATGCGGTTCCCCCACCCAGTACACCGTTTCGTGGCCGCATAGCGAGCCCCACCGAAGGGCCTCAGAGGCAGAGTTCGCGTGCGTTTCTCCCACCGAGCACAGCGCTTCGTGGCCCCATAAGGATCTCTACCCAAGGCCCCAATGGCTGCACTCGCATGCGTCTCTCCCGCCCAAAACAGTGTTTCGTGGCCCCATAGGGAGCTCCACCCAAGGCCCCAGAGGCTGCACTCGCATGCGTTTGCCCCACCAAGTACAGCGTTTCGTGGTCCCATAGGGGGCTTCACCGAAGGCCGCACTGGCAGCTCCGCCCAATTGCAGCGCACCCTCACACGTTTCGCGGCCCCATAGTGGACTCCAGCTACAGCCCCAGTGGCAACGCCCAAATGGCGGCCCCAACCCATATCGGCACACCCTTCAGGGCCCCATGAGGAGCTCCCCCCGAAGGCGATGCCTGTAACGAATGTGCTCACAACTGCATATGTTTGGTTCCTTCGCCCGTATAAGTTTGCTTCGACGTCGTCGTTTTCTTGAGCGGCGCCGAGATGGGGGGACGAAGAATGGAAGGGAAGACCGGTGCACTTTTCGAGCCGTAAAACCCCCCGTGTTGGGCCACACACGGCACCGCTAGGGGCCCCAGAGGGCCCCTCTTCTGCAGCCATCGCTGCCCTCCCTTGATCGCCAACCCATGACGCGACGCCCAGCATCAGGTGCCTCCACACTGCGCCCGGGAAGACATGGTACTTGTTACTTGTTGTTTGTTCCCAACCATCCCGTGGTATTGGGCATCGTTTTGAAGGGACAGCGCCCCGTGTCCCCGCACATCCCGCCTTCCTCTCCCTCTTCCCTCCCCACCCTCCTTGCCTCTGCCCTGAACATCATGCGTCTCCCCCACTCAATACAGCGCGTCGTGGCCTCATAGGGAGTTCCACTAAAGGCTCCAGTGACTGCGCTCGCATGCGGATCCCCCACCCAGTACAGCGCTTCGTGACACGATTAGCCCCACCGGAAGCTCCAATGGCTGCACTCGCATGCGATTCCTCCGCGCAGTACACCGTTTCGTGGCCCCATAAAGGGCTCCACCGAAGGCCTCAGTGGCGGTGTTCGCATGCGGCTCCCCCGCCCAGTATAGCGTTTCGTGGCCCCCTGGGGTGCTCCACCGAAGGCCTCAGTGGCGGTGTCCGCATACGGATCTCCTGCCTAGTTTCGCGGTCCCATTGGGAACTCCACCGAAGGCCCGAATGGCTGCATTCGCACGCAGTTCCCAACCAAATACAGCGGCCCGTGGCCCCTGTAAGGGGCTCCACCGACGGCCCCGGTGGTTGCACTCGCATGCGGTTCACCCGCCCAGTAAAACGCTTCGTGCCCCCATAGGGAGCTTCACCGAAGGCCTCGGTGGCTGCACTCGCATGCAGTTTCCCCACTCAATACAACATTTCGTGGCACCATCAAGGCGAAGGCCCCAGTGGCTGCACTCGCATGTAGCTCCCCCGCCCAGTATACGTTTCGTGGGCCCCATAGGGATCTCTACCGACGGCCCCAGTTGCTGCACTCGCATGCGGTTCCCCCATGCAATACTGCGTTTCATGGTCCATAGAGAGCTCCACCGACCGCCCCAGTGGCTGCACTCGCATGCGTCTCCTCCGCCCAGTACAGTTCTGCATGGCCCCATAGGGAGCTCCACTGAAGGCCCCAATGACTGCACTCGCATGCGGTTCCTCCACCCAGTCCCATGTTCCGTGGCCTCACATGGGGGGTCAGCCGAAGGCCCCAGTGGCTGTACTCGCATGCGTTTCCCCAACAGAGTACAGCGGTTCGTGCCTCCATGGGGTGCTCCACGAAAGACCCCAATGGCTGCACTCGCATGCGCCATCCCTTTGTACAGCGTTTTCGCGGCCCCGTAGTGAGCCCCACCGAAGGCCCCAGTAGCGGCGTCTAAATGCGTTCCGCCACCCAGTAGGCTCCACCGAAGGCCTCAACGGCGGTGTCCGCATGCGCTTCCAAGAACAAATGCAGCATTTCGTAGACCCGTGGGGAGCTGTGGCCCCAAAGTGAGCTCTACCGACGGCCCCAGTGGCGGTGTCCCCATACACCCATACATGCCCCCCGCCCAGTAAAGCGTTTCGTGGCCGCATAGGGAGCTCACCGAGAGCCCCAGTGGCGGAGTCCGTATGCGTTACCACACCCCAGCGCAGCGCTTCGTGGCCCCATAGGGAGCTCCACCGACGCCGATACCCACTGATGCGGTACTCACAGCTGCGTATGGTTGGGTCCTTCGCCAGGTTAATGTTGGTTGCTTCGTCGTCGTCGATGTCTTGTCGTTTTCGGTCTCTGGTGGTCTTTTCGGGGATGAAGAACTCCCCTGGTCACATACAGAAATACTTTCGGAGGTCCGCGCGCATTGTTCTGATCGGCGCTGGACCCCCTGGCGGCGCCGCCAGCGCCGCCCCTGGCGCGCTCCCCCGAGGCGTTCCAAGGAGGCCTCACGGCCTCCAAAGCACCCTTCACGAGGCCCAGAGGGCCCCGGAGGCTCCACAGTCGATCGAGGTGCTGGGGGCACCTTCTAGGCAAGGGGCACATGTAGCAAGCCCCGAGATAGGGCCGCCGTCCATGCCCAGGACGATGACCTCTGGCGGCGCGCAAGGAGGGGGAGGTCCAGTACTTCCTCTCATCCTGCTGCTCCTCGCCGCTCTGCCCCTTGCTCCTCGGACCCCCTGTGAAGTTGGGCCCTCGACTGGAGACCGCAGCGCCGAGCGTCTCTCCACCTCCCTCGCTTCCCCCACCCTCTTCCTCCTGCTCTGTTGCTGAAGGTCATGCTCCCAAGCCCCCCTGCTCTGTCTGGGCCTCGCGTTTTCTGCACGCCGCGCCGTGCACCCGCCTCCTCCGTCAAGCCTACCCCTCCCTTCCTTCCTTACAGCTCGT